GTAGTATCAGCCCCATGCATGCTCTGCTTTCCCGTCGGAAGCTAATGTCATTTGCCTGAAGTCTGCTCCTGCTCCCTCAGAGGAGAAGTTATTTTTTTCAGGATGGTCTTGGGAGTATTGAACTGATTCTGTGTTCCCTTTAATCAAAACAATGCTAATGACTGGGGCTATTCTAAAGGCAGTTGTGAACCTAGAAACTTCCCAAATGAATTCATGTAAGACCAAAACATTGTCCTCTCAAATGGTTCCAGGCTGCTCATCATGAAAAATGGATCAATAATTATCTGGATCTAAGTCCCAAACACCGCTCCTGGTGCACCCAAGTTAGCTTGCATAAAACAAGGATGAGGGATCCTTTGGCTTGGCGGCAGCCCATTTTTAGAGGCAGTGTAGTGGTTGGGAACCAGTCTCTGGAACCAGATGCCCCAGGTTCAAATCTGCCTCTGCCAGTCACCACTGTGCAAATTTGAACAGATTACCTATCATCTATTCCAGTTGCCTCGTCTGTAACATGGGATTAAAAATATTCCCTACCTCTTCGGGTCCTCGTGAGGAGCAAGTGAGTTAATATGCATAAGGTGCCAGAACAGTGCCTGGCATGTGGGAAGAGCTATAACAGTGTGGCAAAATAAAGAACGTTGCAGTCCCTTCCACATCCCCACAGCCCGGTCCCCTGTCTTCCAAAATCCCAGGATCCTAAAGCCCCCAACTTCTGCTCTTGTCCAGAGGAGTCCGTGAGTGAGTGGGCTGGGGTGGCGACAAGTCATTCTGCCTTTGAAATGCTTGGCCTGGACCACCACCCACTTTGTTGTTTCTTCCCATTTTCTGAACATCACAAAATGTAATATTCATGTGTCAGGGGATCCAGGATTGTATTTTAACATTTTATGGCCTCTTTGCAAAGCTACCTTTTCAATTTTAGAGGAGGCAGTTTTATGACTTCCTTTGATAACCACTTAACTATTAAGACCCAAACAAAGAAGAGGCATGGTCAAAGGATATCAGGTACTCCCAGACAGCTAGAGTCCCACTTCTTGAACATTATTCAGATTAGCTCCAGGACTCATAATTCTGTGTTTTCATTTATTGCTGCAGTAAAGTAAATTGTTCTTTTATCCAAATGTTATTTCCTGGCTATTAATTCAGTAGTTACTTTGGATTGTAGCACTCTTCTTTGATTTAGGAATATGGTGCCTTTTAAATATTTAAAAGTTGAAGACTGACAATTGGAGAAACTGACTTTGATTTGTTTTGTTAATATCCTATGTCTAGAGTAATTATAGGTCTGCAAGACGTGATCCCATTCTCTGCTTATCAGAAGATATGCAGAGCTTGTGTTTCTATAACAAGGACATTTGGCAACAGAAGGCTCTTCCCAACTCTTTTGCAGACAAGATCTCCATGCACACCTCCTCAGGACACACCCTACTCTTAATTCTTCATAATTTCCACCAGAAACCGCTCTTGAACCCAGGAATGGGGATGAAAACTATCTATACTTCTCAAAATAGCTGAAACTGGCCATTTCTGAAAGGCTGGGGACTTTCTCTGCATCTACAAGTGCCAGCAAGGGTTTACGACAGGGCTTGGGGTGATCTATAGGCTGGTATGATTTAACGGTGGATCAATCAACCTGCTAGGGGAAAAAAAGACAAGGTCAATAAGTATGGGTCTTGGTGAACCAGAGGTCACCCTACATTTTTCAACCTAATGTTCTTATTTCCTTTCCATTAACATTTCATAATGAAAAAATGCCTATATTCTTTAATTTTTAAGATAATTAAGTGAATTTAGTGCCTTTGAAGGGTAGAGGATTTACAATGGCATCAGAGACGACACTATTAATAATCCACAAGACAGGGGCCACCTGGAGAGCCTCACGGCCTCCACTGCCCTATAAGCTCCTTGGCAACCAGCTGGGAGGGGGTTGGACTTCCTCTGCCGACCCAGGACCAGACTCTTCTCCTGAGAGCAGAAACACTTGTGTCTTTTGGGACGGGGCTCCTACCCTCTTGAGAAGTGGTTTTCCAGTTGTATTTGAGTTTGAACATGAACAAACTACCACGAGCACAGATATTCTAGGCAGAGAGAAAGCCCTTGAAACATGTGGTGGAAGTAGAAAGTCGTTCTGGAGTTTCCCTAAGGGAAAGAAACACCGCATCCTCCTCTAAGAGTGTTACAGCCTAAAAGGCAGGGTCAGGATTGACACAGGGGTACAGAATAAGAGAGGAGGGTGTGCACAGTTGCCGCCAGGCCCACGCACGTAGAAACAAAGGGACTAAAAACCAAAGGCCAGTTTACCTCTGAGTTCTCCAAGCTGATCATTTAAGTCACCATTTAAAAAACACAATTTAAATGATTTTTGGATAACGATGGTAGAGTAAACTGACTCATTTTCTTTTGTTCCTGCCTCAGGCCCCACTAAAAAATCATAAAGAAATTTTTTTTTAGGGTACAAATTCTCAAAAACAAAGAAATTTTTCAAAATTTTGAAAGCTAGAAAACAGATGGATAAATATTAAGTAATGTAGCAAACCCAAGAAAGCCAAAATAAGCCGGCAGTGGGAAAAGCTGAGAGACAAACAAATTTATACCACAGAGCCCCTCCCAGATAGCTCCAGAACTGGCTAATTAAGTACCTTTGGAAGTAGGGATGAGGGTGGGACTATGTCCAGGAAAATGGGGAATCTAAGAAACAGTGACATCTCCAGATCCTTTGTCTCACGCCTCCACCTCATAAACACTGAGAGCTGTGTGTAGCTTAAGAGTGTATAACAGCTGCTCTTTGGGTTAGGGAGACACCAGCGCAGAACTTGAGGGTAGGTCTACAGGCTGCAAACAGGGCTGAACGAAGGGCTAGAAACCAGTGCCGGGGCTCCTCCCCCAAGCCCCTTCCCAGCCAGGCTCCACCTTCAAAAGTCTTCTCTGGGGAATCTGAGTAGCTAAAGAGCAAAGTCCTAAAGATACCCCACATTTGGTGGCTTTCCCAAGGAAACAGGTCAGTTAGATGCCCCCTCCAGAGAAGGCTGCCGAAGATTTAACAGGAACTATTAGAGCCTGACTTGTAAACAGAAGCTGAAAATCAAAGATGACCATACAGCTAAGGAAAACCTCTAACACTCTGAAACCTCTGATATATGAAAATGATTGCTTGACAGATAAGCTGATTAAGACAGAGACTAAACCATGAGCAGATGAATGGATAAAGAAAATGTGTTACAGTTGACCCTTGAACAACATGAGGGTTAGGGGCGCCAACCCCCATGCAGTCAAAAATCTGTGTAAAATTTTGACTCCCCAAAAGCATAACTACTAATATCCTTATTGACCAGAAGCCTTACTGATAACATAAACAGTCAATTAACATATATTTTGTATATTGCATGTATTAGGTACTGTATTCTTACAATTAAGTAAGCTAGAGAACATAAAACGTTAAGAAAATCATAAGAAAGAGAAAATACATTTACAGTACTGTGTCGTCTTTATTGAGAAAAAGCCTCATATAAATGGACCCATGTAGCCCAACCCCATGTTGTTCAAGGGTCAACTGCATACACATGCAATGGAATATTATTCAGCCTTAAAAAAGAAGGCAATCCTGTCATATGGTACAACATGAATGAACCTTGAAGACATTATGCTAAGTGAAATAAGCCAATCACAAAAAGATAAATACTACCTGATTCCCTTTATATGAGATATCTAAAGTAATCAAACTCATAGAAACAGAAAGGAGAATGGTGGTCACGGGGGCTGCAGGGGAGAGGAGAATGGGGAGTTGTCCATTGCGTGCAGAGTTTCAGCCACACAAGGTGAAAAAGTTCCAGATACCTATCGTACAACAGTGTGCATATAGTTAATACGGTACCATATTTATATATTTGTTCATTGTTCTTCTGTGTTGTGGGGAATAAACAGTGTTCGGATTTTAGCCTAGAGATGTAAACTCTTATGGAGGAGCATGGAGTTGGGAAGGCAGGACTGATTATATGGTTTCTAGAATGCTTAGAGTGACCAGCGTTGGATTTCATTGCTCAGCCAAATTAGTCCCAGGGTGAAGATAACTCCTTGAGTAATTTACACCCAGTGAATAGAAATATGAATCCAGAATGTCCCCGATAGCTTAAAAAGGTAGAAATTATTCCCTTACCAAGAGTGGCCCAAAGGATATGGTGAACCAAATGAAATCAGCATGAAAATGGTTCCCTAAGATTTTTTTCTTCCCTTTAAGTTTGTGTGGGGCAACTGATGGACAGCTGCCTCACGTGAGTGTTTTGAAAACCCTGAATATGTATGACCAGTATTGTAATTGCATTGTGATGTTTATGTAGAATGAAACTAAACGATATTGTAAATTTATTCTTTTGGTGAAACATATGCTGGTGCTGATCCTCCAAACGTCGCTATTCTATTAAGAAAACATTTTGTGCCAGAGATGCTCTGTCTGATCCTTTCCATCCTTCTGAATATACAGAACACGTGTGTAACAAAGGGCATGTGCGGAGCTACAGGATATAAGGACACAAGAAACGGAAATAAGGATGCACAACGCAAGGATATAAGAATACAAGAAACAAGGCAAAGGGGTGTATTATACCATGTCCTCCTCTGAATAGCAGCAATTAAAATTCACAGCTGCTGGCTGCCCAGATGTTTCTTGCATTTAGTGCTCTGTAATATGCATCAGAATATATTGTATGACTGCAGTTTCAGTAAACTAGACAGCTTTTATTCTAAATTCTGCAGACTAGATCCAGTGTGTATATTTTTCCTTCAGAATAGCTTCCCTTCCCCCCTCCCACCCTCTTCATTTGCTTGGGGCATTTGCAGCTCAGAAACAAAAAACATTTCCAGCTCAGAGTTTAGCTCTATCGGAGTGTAAGTGCAGGTCAGGTCTGATTTATGTGGCACGTCTGATAAGCAAGAAAGGAGAGAGCAGGATGAGGGCTTTGGAAAAGCGGGTAAACTTGGCTTGACTTCTGTCTTCTGTTTTGTAGGCAGCCAACGTCCCTCTGGTGTCAGAACTTGCCATCAATGACATACATTTTGATGACTTCTCTCTTGATGTTGACGCCATGATCACAGCTGCTCTCCGGATGTTCATGGAGCTGGGGATGGTACAGAAATTTAAAATTGACTATGAGGTAAGATGTTCTGACAAGGCGATCTGTCTGGGACAACATGGTAGCCAGCTTTCCCAAATGCAACTTGAGGATGATACTACTCAGCCTGCACACCTCCTGGGATTACCGTGAGAACCCTGGGAGGTTTGTGAAAGGACTTTGGGTGGTGAAGATGACTCAGACATAAGGCATCGTTTTGATAACAGCCCACTGGAGACACATCCAACCGCCTGACACAACCTTTCCCTTCCCATTTCAGACACTGTGTAGGTGGCTGTTGACAGTGAGGAAAAATTATCGAATGGTTCTGTACCACAACTGGAGACACGCCTTCAACGTGTGTCAACTGATGTTTGCGATGCTCACAGTAAGTGTGTTTGGTAGCAGTGGAAGGTCATCTGTCATTTGTAGGGACCTAGAGGCCTTCTCCTTCGCATTTCCATTTCTCTGACAAATTGCCACATGACTTATTTTACACTGGAACTTACCTGCCCTGGTTATGGGAGTATATATTTCACAACAATTTCTGGGCTTTAAAGCAGTAAAATCGCTGACACCTTGAAGCAGGTGTAGTCTTGGCATGATTGCTTGAGCCTCTTTTCAGTGTTTTATCTTGGGAAACTAGTCCTTTTTACAAAAGAAATGCTTGGATTTTCAAAGTAATCTTTTTGCAGAGGATAGGGGCTTGAGTAACAAAACATAAGGGATCCCTGGATAAAACTCTCTCGGCTGGTGAAAAGCCACAGTCAGGGCGTGTGAACATTACCCACGGGAACATGGAAATCCTGAAAGAGCGCTTATCTGTGAGATGCCCAGGGAGGCAAGGGAAGAAAGAAGTAGGAGCAAATGCTGTTAGGGCTTAGGGGCACACGAGGCTTAAAATCTCTGTTCGAGGGGCTGTCACCCAGGGAAGGTGGTAGTCTGGTTTTTGGAGATGGTTAGAGCCACTGGCCAGAGGTAAGCCTTGGAATTTAAACTAACAGCAAATGTTTGTGGCAAAGATTGAAACCAAATCTTCTATTCATCTCCATTTACTGGCAAGAAATAAGGCTTGTTTTGGCCTTATTTCCACTTATACTGTTAAACTGTAATCAAGTAAAATGTTTTCTGGCTTAAATATATTGGCTTCTCTGGCCTCTTGGTTTTATACACATACACATATGCATGTAGACATACATATATGTACATATATTTGTATGTATAAACATATTTACCATATAAAATAGAAAAGAATACAAGTTTTAATTATTATAGCATAAATCTAAGTACCTTACATCTTTGTACCCACACTGAAATTTAAACCCAAAATAGGGAACTCCAAATGATATACATTTTTCTTTGGCCAAATGAGCAAATACTGTTCTGCTCCTTCCTTATGAAATGATCTGTCCCGTTCTCTGCGTATTAAAGTTTTACTCATCCTTGAAGGCACTGATCTATGCTAGTTTTTCCCAGAGTCTTCCCCTATCTCCCCAAGCATCAATAATTACTTCCATCTCTGCACTGTGTCTAGTACAACGTATCTTTCTTTCCTCTGTGTATCTTAAGGCACAGGTTGCTAATTTTGCTATAGAGTCAACAGCTTGAGGCCAAAGAGATCATTTCTTATTCTTTCAACAACATTCATGTGTTTGCCCAATGAGGGCATTTTTTTGCTGAGGGCCTCGCCAACACTTTGCATGCCCTCATACACTTGGTAGGTTTTCAACAGATGTGTGTTAGGTTAACTTGAACGCCAGTGTGCATATAGCATGAGGAGATGGGACCAAAATGTCTTCACTTTTACACTGGAGGACATCTGTTTTGGATCCTTAGCCGCTTAAGGAGCAAGCGGATTGGCCTGGAAAAACTGGACTGACCCTGTCCTTCTGTAACATACCCCATGAAAGCAGTCGGCCAGGCAAATGAGGGAGGAAGACGCTTTGAACTATTAGCCTTAATTGTTCAAGTGCCAATGTTGCTTAAAAAAAAAAAAAAAACGCACTTTCATCTTGCTTTTCCATATCAGATCTCAGTAGACAAGGAATCATTTTCTGTGTGCAGAGTTTATGTGTCTGACTCACAGAAGACATTCAATAAAGAAATTGTTAACCTGTTATTTTGGAGAACCTATGGATTTATGGTGACTTGCCAAAAATAAGTCAGCAGGAGCCTTGTTCAATGAAGGGAAAAAAGGAATGGCCTTGCTATCATAAGTTAGAGATGTAAAAGACAGAAACAGACTTCTATGACAAGCCTTGAAATAGTCGGGGTGGGGTAAGTTGGCAAGAGCAGTGGGGTCAGGGAGGGCACTTAGGAGTAAAAGGAAATACATACCCAGTTTTCTTCAGTATATGTTTCCAAAAGACAGACAATCTTGATCCTTTTCAGGAACTGGAAGAAAGGAGAACTCTCAAGCTGTGTTATTACAACAGGGGTATTGATACTGCCAGAATATTTCAAGCGTATAGTTATTTTTGCAAGTCTGCTCACCAACCTTGAAGCGTAGCCCTATGTGAGAAGGTTTGGGTTTTGTTTTTGTATTAATGCTAGCTCAAAAAGGGGAGAATTCTCTGTTAAAGTTCCCACCCTGGCTTTGAAAAAAATACACTGGTGAATGTTATTTTTTTCTCCCTCAGACTGAATTGAGAAGCCACATCTGGAAAAGATATTATTTCCTGCTCATTAGATTTTGCTGAACTTGCCTAAGGGTTACAATAGGTTGAAAGTATCAACTTTTGTACCTAACACAAGCAGTCTCTTCAACTTGACCATGGGCAACCTGGTTAATGAGAATTTTTTAACTAAGAAAATAATTACAGAGGTGAAAAAAGATTACTTGATCAGTGAAGAAAAAATGAATTTAATTTACTCATCAGTTCTAACTTCTGGAATACAACCTCAGCTTAGGGGCAAAATGATAACCTACTCACTTCCAAGAATGGGTATTAACACTTCAAACACTCCTGAAGACTAGTAGGGGCTTTCACTTTTCTGTTCTCATCAATGATTATATTTCCATTCCAGTTATCTCATATTCTATTTCCATGTATTGAGTTAGAAACAGAATTTTCTCTTAAAAAAAAAAAAATTACCATATACCAACCGACACTGGATTCATTCCGTCTGAGTCACAAAGCCAAGAAAGCATGGCGCACATATGCTGAGTTTTCCTCTAGATGGCGCTCCAAGGCAAAGTTTCCCAGCCAGTTGCCAAGAAAGGAGGAAAAACAACCTTCCCAACCTTCTCTGAAAGTACTTCTTTTCTTCTAGGACAGGAGATAATGAAGCACACACTCCCACACTCTTTTCTTAAAAGAGGCACCACCAAAGCAAGTGTGTCCAAAAAAAGCCCCTCCTATCAGGTCAGACTGTGTTATGACTGCCTTGCCCACAGAGCTGTTTGCAGGAATAATATAACATTCTCCATGTGACCTTGTATCTGTGCATGTATGTATTTTTCTAAGCCATTGTCTCTGAGAGTGGGAAGATGCATAGTTGTGTGTCACTGCTGAGCAAGTTATGACACCGTGTACAACAGGACAAGCAAGTAGTAAATCTACACACCAGCTTCCAAACCTTTAACCCTAAAATCATTTTGAACATGGAAAATAAACTTATTGAATCAGAATTATGTTTTGCAAAAGTATTCAACCTCATGTCTAGGTAACAAATCGGTTTTGTTCCTTTAGGGGGGAAAAGAATGAACTGCTTTGAAGAATAAGCAATTTGATATAAAACGGTGGAAATTTAGTTCACTGGGAACCCTGCTAATGACTTACTAATTTATTCCACACCTCTGGGCTGAAATTCCCAATTTAGAAATGAAAGCTTCAGTATTATTCCTTGCTTCTAAAGAGATATTTAAGTAGTTAGAATTTACCAAATATTTTTAATTCCTTGGATAAATACAGCACGGTTACTATTTGGGGCTAAAACACGGAATAAAAACCTGCAGATCAAGAATAATCATACAAATTCTCTTTATTTATGGAAGCTTGTAGAACAAATATTCCATTAAGCACATACATAATGAACAATGAGAAACACATCTCTCCTATTCACAATGCAGACCAGTTAGGGAAAATGACTGTGCTTTTTTGTTTGTATTCTGTGGAATAAAAGGTATGCAGTAGTGCCAAGGTTGCGGAGACATTTTTCGGTTTTATAAATGATGTATGAGTTCTGACAGATTCTCCAGGGGGGATAAAAAAAGGTTTCCTTAAGAGTCAGTGTTCTTTACTATCCCATAAATGTACTCATTAGCACTTTGGGCCATGCCCAGCATCCTGTAGGGCTCTTTCAAAAGAGACGCATTTGAACGAGTGGATTTAGTTGAGGGTAATATTATTCATGTTGCCTAGTGTCCAGTTTTTTAAAAAACTGTAAAACGATGAACAACTATCACTGCTAGAAATCTTGTTTTTTCTTCATATCACACTAAGGTTCATCTAGGGTTCATATAGAATATTATGATCCCGCAGAATTCACTGGATATGAAAAGAGTAGAGCACATGATCACATTAAAATTTATGGTGGTGCAGGCGGCGTGGCGCTGGTGGGGGATTGCAGTTAAACACTAGTAATAACCAAGTATCACAGCAAACACACTGACACCCCCTGACATTTACTGGGGGCTTCTTAAATCTTAAATGTGGTGGTAGCGTGTTTAAGTCCATATTTGTGTTGTCAACAAGGTTATTTTCAGAGATAAGCCAAGTCATTTTATTGATAATTCAAACTAGAGAGCAGAAGGGACGTTTAGGGAGAAAAATCCATCCTATTCACCAGCTTGAGGATAATGCGCTGTCTGCTATCTGCCGTTTTCAGAGAAGTCCTTGATTTTTGAGATAGAAAATTTATTCTGGAAGGAGATCTGAGAAGCACAATTGGAACTCTCCCCCACTCCCTCTCTCCCTTCCCACCATCCCCACCCCCCTGGCCTCCCAAGAAGGACAGAGTCCATTAAAATTTTTTTTAGAACCAATTAAATTTTTGAATAAAATATTTTCACTAAGTAACCAGAATCCTAATCTCAACAGAAATCTAAGTTTTTTTGTAGATTGTCACATTGGGAGATCCAGAGAGATCTACATGTTTTGTTCTGTAACTGACTATAGTAAAGTAACAAACAATAATCATGTTTATAATCATCAAACATCATTTTCACATTGTATTTCCTTTTCATATAAGTAGTAACTACTATATTTACTTGAAAATAAGTGACAGCGTCATCATAACAATGCGATAAAATCTGCATGTTAGAAAAGCCAGTTCTTTAATCTTCGTGTAGGTATGTCTTGACTTCCAGTGTAACTTTAAAGATGGCAAATTTTCAAGTTAGGAAAGGAGTGATTTTCAGTGTATTTGCAGAATATCAGCACTGGG